AGACAGACAGACAGATAGATAGATAGACAGACAGACAGATTGATAGATAGATTGATAGACAGATAGATAGACTATATTTTAAAACTGCACAAAAAATATTCTATTCAAAATATAAAATTAAAATCTAATTCAAAATATTAACAAAAACTGTGATACTTAAATAATAGTAGTGTCGAGTCACTTTCAGGGTTATTGCTAAAAACATTTTTATGAAAACTGAAATAAAACATAAGTATTAGATAAACTTCAACTAAATGAAAATTAGTTAATTGTATAAGTTTAAGTTGAAGCTCTAAAATTACTCAATTGAAAGTAACTGAAATAAAAAGTAAAACCTAAATGGTGGTAATAAATACTTTGATACTTAACTCTGGTGTCTAGTCACTTCCAGGGTTATTATTAAAAACATTTTTAAGTAAAATTTAAATGAAATCTAAAAATTTGATTTAAAATAAAACTTCCAACTCAATGAAAATTAGAAATAAGTTTAAGCAGAAACACTAAACTGAAAGAAACTGAAATAAGAAGTAAAACCTAAATGGAAATATATATAAAAAAAAATAATACAAATAAAGCTAAAATCTAGTTCAAAATATAAACAAAAACTCTGATACTTAAATAACACTTGTGTCAAGTCACTTCCAGGGTTATTATTAAAAACCATTTTTAACAAAAATAAATAAAATATAAATATTAGATGAAAAAACAAGAATTAGAAATCATTTTATGTTGAAGAACTAAAATTAGTAAATGGAAACAAAGTAAAACATGAATAGAAATAGTAAAAAAGAAAATGCAAAAAAGAAAACAAAAGCTAAAGTTGAAGTTCATAGTATTAATAAAAACTATAAAAGTATATAAATGATACTAAATCAGTCTGTACTGCTCTTATCATGAACAGTTTATCCATGCAGTTTATTATAATATTTCACAAAAAAGTCATAATTATAATCGCCTCTGAAGCAACTTTTTCTCTCCTGCTGATGTAACCAAGGCCGTGAGGTTTAAGAAAAATAATATTAACCAGTAATATGTATAATTATATAAATACATCACATTGCAGATGTTAAATGTGTAGCGAATACTGTTTTCTTGTTGCATTTAATGTCCTTAAATTCATGTTTTGTTTTTCAGGTGTCACATTATCACTCAGTTTAATCAAGGCTTCTACAATTGCATCATCGCCACAGACGAACAGGGCCTGGAGAATCCCGCTCGACGTTCCCAGAAAACAAAGGAGAAAGGAAAGAAGAAAAAGTAAGAGATCCCAGCAGTGGAAATGCATAAAACATTTGCGCATTAAATATGATTTCTTCTATCTTGAAAATGTTAGGTGTGTTGAAATGATTTCTGTATTAAATATTTCTACTGATTTTGGTTTCGTCCCCCCAGAGGAAAAGACAAGGAATATGGCGTTTCCAGAGGAATCGATTTCCACAACGTGTCTAATGTGATCAACTTTGATTTTCCCTCTTCAGTTGAGTCCTACATCCACCGCGTCGGCAGGTGTGCAGACAATATTACTGTATACTCTATTATTATTATTATTATTATTATTATTATTATAGCATTTATATTTTTAATTGGATTTTTTTTCATATTTTCAGTTTTCATTTTAACCCTCATAATGCATACAGAATCTCTATATGATTGTCACCTTTTTTTCCCACTTTGGTTGAGAAATCTTATTTGAATATATGATTGTATAAAATATATAAGAACATATAATCTGAGAATGACCAGTATTAACCCCTTTGGAATTAATGGAATTTAATTAAATTCCATTGACTATATAACTCATGATTGCTCAAATGTATGAAACATACATAATTATTTCTAACAAAACAACATAAATAATACTCCGAAAAGTTTTTAAACAAAATAAATTCATTGTAATGCATACACGTTCACTTTCAGATGAAAAAAGTAATACATTTGTCAGTACAGTAGGCGTACATATTTATGTTTATCAACAAAATTCAGTCCCAAAAGTGTTGTGTGAGATTTGTGGAAAAGGCTTAATATATTTTACAGTTTTCTTGACACTTGTATAACTTCATAGATAATTTAAGAAAAATATGTTTGACACCTAATGGTACTTCATACATACACGGGTCCAAAATGACTCAAACGCAAAATATTTTTTGAATGGTTATACCTCTTAAGAAATAATTGTAAAAAAATCTGAAAAATAATAATGATGTGTATTTTGTTAGTCTTAAAGCACTTGCATAGTTTCGTTCCCTTAGTAAAATCTATGCAGTTTTTAGAAATGTTTATGCATCTCTTCTGGGTCAAAATGGACACGAATGCTTTATGAGGGTTAAGTTTAACTTTTAGTCATTTTTCCAAAGTGACTTACAAATGAGGACAATGGAAGCAATCAAAATCAACACAAGAGCAATGATACACAAGTGCTATAACCAGTCTCAGTTAGCTTAACACAGTACATATAGCCAGGTTTTTTTTTAATCATATAATAAATAAAACGAAAACAGAATAGAAAAAGAATAGAGCAAGCTAGTGTTAGAGGCCTTTTTTGCTTTTGTTAATTGTAAAATAAATAAAAAGAAAAAAAAATAGATGGAATACAAAAAGAATAGAGAAGCAAGTGTTAGTTTTTTTGTTTTTTTAAGAAAACAAGCAGTTAGTAAATAAATAGAGTGCAAGTCTAAAAGGGGCAAGTTTTTTTTTATAAAGAATAGAATTAGAATAGAGAGTGCTAGAGTTAGAGTTTCAAATAAAGATGGAAGAGATACGTTTTTAGCTGATTCTTGAAGATGGCTAAGGACTCAGAATTAATTTAATTTTTAATTAATTTTGTGTGCTTTTTGCCATTTTCTCAGTCTTTTTATATATATATTTCTATTTAATTTATTTCAATTTTAGTACTTCAAGTTGTTCATTTACTTCAACAGTGTAAAAACCGTCTTTGCTCTCTGTTTATCTACATATTGAAATAATAATGACATATTGGTTAATAGAGTTGGGCTTAATTGTATAATGTTTCTATTTTCAGTTTTCATTTATATATCTGTTTAATTAATATTTTTCATTTTTTTGTAATTTTAGTATTTTATTTCTAAATGATTTCTTATTCTACATTTATTTCTACATTTCATTTAGCTTTTCATCTAATATTTATATTTTGTATTCTATTCATTTTTATATTATTTTCAGCTTTCGAATAGTTTTATTTGACAGTTTTAGTTAACGATAACAATACTGATTTTTCTTCAGAACAGCTTGTGCGGATAATCCCGGGAGCGCGCTGTCCTTCATATCGCATACAGAAATTCCCATGCTCACGCAGGTCGAAAACACTCTTACTGGAGGTAAAAGTCACAGGTTTTAGAGGATGTTTATTTTAACATGGTCACAGGAAGCTAACTTATGCCTGCTCATGTTGTTAAAAACCTAGTATGTGACCCTGGAGCACAAAAGCAGTCTTAAGTCGCTGGGGTATATTTGTAGCAATAGCCAAAAATACATTGTATGGCTCAAAATGATAGATTTTTCTTTTATGCCAAAAATCATTAGGGTATTAAGTAAAGATCATGTTCCTACCATAAATATATCAAAACTTAATTTTTGATCAGTAATATGCATTGCCAAGAACTTCATTTGGACAACTTTAAAGGAGATTTTCTCAGTATTTAGATTTTTTTGATTTTCAAATAGTTGTATCTCGGCCAGATATTGTCCTATCCTAATAAACCATACATCAATGGAAAACTTATGTATTCAGCTTTCAGATGATGTATAAATCTCAATTTCAAAAAATTGACCCTTATGACTGGTTTTGTGGTTCAGGGTAACATATTATAAACTAACATAATTCTTGTAAATAGAATGCTGGTATTGTGTAGAATATAGGCTCTTTGAATATCTCTTCAATTTTTTTTTTTAATTCTACATTGGCAGAAAATAATGTTGTGTGTTTCAAGATCATGATTAATCACATCCAAAATAAATGTTTTTGTTTACATAAAATGTGTGTGTGCTGTGTATATTTATTATGCATATATAAATACACAGACATGCATTATATATATTGAAAATATTTACATGTATATATTTATAGTCATATAATTTATATATACATATATTTAATATATGCACATATCATATTTTTATAAATATATGCATGCATGTGTGTATTTATATATAATTAATAAATATACACCGCACACACACATATATTATGTAAACAAAAGCTTTTATTTTGGATGTGATTAATCGCTATTTAAGATACAAAATGATAATATTGTAATGAATTATTATAAATTACAAGCAAATTCATTTTTCCTTGTCTGTTTTCAGACAGCACACATGACAGTGTTTTGAAGCCGTACGGGTTCAAAATGGAAGAAATCGAGGGATTCAGATACAGATGCCGGGTATGTTTGTGTCCTCACGCAGCACTGAAGCTGTGTTTGTGGTTCGGCTCACCTGAGGAGTCTCTTTTGTGCTTTAATTTACCCAGGATGCCATGAGATCGGTGACGAAGCAGGCGGTGAAGGAGGCCAGACTGAAGGAGATCAAACAGGAGCTGCTCAATTCAGAGAAACTCTAGGTTTGTGGTCGCGTCATTTCAAGCAGTTCATCTCTAATGTCCAGTGATTGGTTGTCATTGATTTTCTGTGTGACAGACGTACTTCGAAGACAATCCCAGAGACCTGCAGCTGCTGCGACACGACAAAGACCTTCATCCCGCCGTCATCAAACCTCACCTGAAGAACGTGCCCGATTACCTGGGTAACAATTCATTGCCTTTTTATTGATCTGTATATATGATACAGAGACAAACAGATCGTCAAAACACATTTTCATGTCTGAAAAGTCTCGTCAATCCTCTGAAACGACGGAAGAAAAAGAAGAATAAAGCAGCCGGCGTGATGCTGAGCAGCTTTAAAGTGAGAATACAGATCGTTCATGTATTTGAACAGTGTACTAACACCAGTTATATGTGTGTGTGTGTGTGTGTGTGTGTATATGTATGTGTATGTATATTTCTATTTAACTCTAATGTATATTTATTTCTTTTTTTAGTAATTTTAGTATTTAAACTTATTATTCTAAATATTATTTAAGCTTTTCATTTAATATTAATAATATATTTAATTTTCGCTTAATTTCAATTATCAAAAAAATGTATTTTTATTATTTTATTTATAGATGAGAATACAAATCGTTCACTTACACAGTTTAACGCTTTCGCTCACTGTTTGATCTACATATTGATATAATAATGCCATATTGTTTAGTTGGGCAGCAGTGATTTTTAATAGTATTGATATACTATTATATTTTTTTATATTTTGAATTGGATTACATTTTTTCTGTTTTCAGTTTAATTTTAGTTAAAGGTTTAAGTAATTTGTGTCATTAATATTATTGTTTGAAATATGTCCATGTAGTATTTTTTATTATTATTTTAGTACTTCAATTTATGCAAAGATATATATATATATATATATATATATATATATATATATATACATACA